TAAACTTGGACCCCACTGTCACTCCTATCAGAGTAAAGGCAAGGAGAGTACCTTTTGCTTTAAAAGGAAAAATTGATGCTGAACTGGACAAATTGATTCAGCAAGGAGTCCTAGAACCTGTTGACTCCAGTCCTTGGGAAACACCCATAGTCACACCTCTTAAGGCTAATGGGGACATTCACACCTGTGCAGATTACAAATGCACCCTAAATAAGGCATTGCAACAACATGCCTATCCTGTACCTGTAGTCAGCCATATTCTGGCTTCCCTTAAGGGGGGGCGTGTTTTTGCAAAGCTAGATTTAGCACAGGCTTATCAACAGTTACCTGTTGATGAAGCTGCTGCTGTAGCATAAACCATTGTAACACACAGGGGGGCATTCAAAGTCAAAAGACTACAATTTGGAGTAAATGTAGCTCCTGGAATTTTCCAAAGCATAATGAAAAATACCTTGAGGGGTATACCAGGGGTTTGCCCCTACTTTGATGATGTCTTAATTGCTGGAGATTCCATTCAAAATTTAGCTGAGAGATTGAGGGCTGTCCTGCTGCAGTTCCAGAAAACAGGCCTCAAACTTTAAAAAGACAAATATAAAATTGGGGTGCCTTCTACAGATTTTCTGGGATTCAAAATTGATGTCAAAGGGATTCATCCTGCTGAGTCCAAATTTTATTAAGTAATAAAATATCTGTAAGAGAACAACCAAGCTCATATTAATTTATAATTGAGGCCCATAACTAGCCATGCACTTAGGCAAAATAAAGCAATTGCTTCACATTACAGATTTTGGGGAACATCCGTGATGTGTTGGTGAAAAGAGCTGTTTATCATGTCACCTGATGTACACATGGCTGCCTTCAGTGCAATAGACAAATTATGTCTGTCAGTGTTGAAGGAAGATCCAGCTCAAGTGCAGTCCAGTTTTGTATTTGAAATAGAAACTTATTTGCTTCAGGCAGTAAAATCTTTTTGACCATTCCAATTGGCCCCTCAGCCAGGCAGATAAGTAGTATTATTACTTTCTTGTAATCTAATGTAAAATCAAGGTACAAGCAAGATCAGGTATTTATTTTAGTGGAATTAGTTTTTTTCTGTTCTTATGTTTTTGTAAGTTTCCAGACCAATAATTTCCAGTATGCCTTATTAACCTAGAAATCAATTCACCCATTACAGAACAGCAGTTTTATCTAGTCTAGAGAGCAATTTGCACAGAACAATGGGAATAAGAGGAATACTTGGCTAATCCTGTCTTGTAAAATCAAAATCATGGTGTGCTTTTTAGAATAGAAGCTTTTTAGGGAGAAAAACTAGGACTTCATAATGGACAAGACGAGCTCCATATTTCAACTGGCTATGCATATATATGCTACTTGTGAATCTAGATCTATATTACAGCATTTTCTATCTCATATTCACCCAATACTTACCAAGGAAATATTATTCCTATTATACAATATTCTGCTCTAGTGCATTGAAATATACATCTAAAACGCTACATGAGTGGAGTAAAAACAGTTTGGGGATCAGAGAATTTACACCACTGGTTTTCATCTAGGCTGTGCTAAAAAAAATTTCACATACTACAGAAGTATTAAGATGGAATTGGAATTAAGATTGCCGGAGAAATATCAACAACCTAAGATATGCAGATGATACCACTCTAATGGCAGAAAGTGAAGAGGAACTAAAGAGCCTCTTGATGCGGGTGAAGAAGGAGAGTGCAAAAGTTTGGCTTGAAACTCAACATTAAGAAAACCAAAATCATGGCATCCGGCCCTCTCAATTCCTGGCAAATAGATGGGGAAGAAATGGAGGTAGTGACAGATTTTATTTTTCTGGGCTCAAAGATCACCTCAGATGGGGACTGCAGCCAAGAAATTAAAAGACGCTTGCTCCTGGGGAGGAAAGCTATGGCAAATCTAGACAGCATTCTAAAAAGCAGAGACATCACCCTGCCAACAAAAGTGCGTATAGTCCAGGCCATGGTTTTCCCAGTTGCAATGTATGGCTGTGAAAGTTGGACCATAAGAAAGGCTGAGCGCCAAAGAATTGAGGCCTTTGAACTATGGTGCTGGAGAAGACTCCTGCGAGTCCCTTGGACTGCAAGGCGTTCAAACCGGTCAGTCCTAGAAGAGATCAACCCCAACTGCTCTTTAGAAGGCCAGATCCTGAAGTTGAAACTCAAATACTTTGGCCACCTAATGAGAAGGAAGGACTCACTGGAGAAGGGCCTAATGCTGGGAAAGATTGAGGGCAATAGAAGAAGGGGACGACAGAGAATGAGATGGCTGGATGGAGTCACTGAAGCAGTAGGTGTGAATTTAAATGGACTCCAGAAGATGGTAGAGGACAGGAAGACCTGGAGGAACATTGTCCATGGGGTCGCGACGGGTCGGACACGACTTCGCAATTAACAACAACAACAACACAGAAGACCACATTGTGCTTTCTATGGTGTTAAAGTTATCAGATAGATTCAGATAGTGTGAGGACACTTATTCTTTTAACGTTTGTCAGGCTTGAGAATTGTCTGTAATTTTATTGCTAAATTAGCAATGTTGAATTTTCAGTATTTTACAGAAGATTGTCTCTGAGACCTCTATCAGATTTTCAAAAAAGTTATTGTTTGTTTGGCTATATGTAGAAATATGTTATCTCTGTATCTGAATTATTTGTAAATGTGTATTCAAAAGACAACTTTTCATTCTCTTTAAGGTATTTACACTTGTATTAAATGCAGGTCTATGTACTTTCAACAGCTGGGCCTCATCTGGGGAACATGCGGCTCCATGGGAACATCCATGACTGCTGTATAATCCTGGAATAAGATTTGTTGGATTAAGAAGTTACAGGTAGAATGTGAATATTCTTCATCACTTTGAAACATTTTCTTCCATTTGAATCTGACACATTACACAGTTTTAGTATATACCATATCATAAAAGCTAAAATAATTTGCTTAATTTCGCATGGATCAGAATACAATCATAAACATTCTATGCCTTTGTGAAATATTCAGTTTTTCTCTGATTCAGATAATAACTGATTTTATCTGTAAAGTTTTCTGTAATTCCCTTTGCTTATAAAGTTAAAAGAACTTTATAAAAATAATATTAAAATGAATGCATTTTTATTTTAATTTACACATTTTTATTAGTCAACTTTAACTTAGGATATCATGGCAATACAGCCTATATCTACCTGTTTTGTGAATTGATTCAATCAATCAGCCAGTCAGCCAATTTATTAGTCTTAGAAAAGTACAAATTAATTTGATCAAGTCATCAAGTATTGAACTACTGTGGTAGTATGCTGAAGAAAAGCACATTGGAAATTGTGATAATTTAACTGTATTATTAGACATGCATTCTATTATATTAACTTTTAATCCATTGATCCACAATCTAAACCTTACATTTATGAAGTTATATTTATGAGAGAGATCCTTGCATCCCAGAATGTACTTTATGACAAGCCTTCAGTGTTGCCTTAGAAACAAGCTCCTTAGTATCAAAGACAAGAAGCTGACTCACATCTTAACTTAGAGAATTTATCCTGAAACATAGGTACAAATCTATGACCAGATATCACTGAATTGCAACTTCTCTATCTCAAATAACCCATCTTCTTGTCAAGTCTTGGCTAATACTTCAGGCTGAAAGAAAATCAATGCTTGACAAAAGCAGAAATTACTTTTATTTAAGAATAAGTAATACATGACTAATACTTAATAAAATCACTGTTGAGACTGGGAAAGGAGTCAGGTGGCAAGTATAATGTATATGTGCACATTCTTACAATAATTTACTATTGCTTACCCCTATCACTGTTAGAATAGTAGTGTTAAATTGTAATATTTTGGGGAAAAAACATTCCTCCCCATTATTTATTGCAAATTCATATCTCACCTTTCTGAATACAAATATCTTTAAAATGACTTAGAAGTAACCTGTATAAATCCTTTAGAAATCATAATGGACCATGACAGAGTCTTTTTAAGTATGCAATTTGTTCATTGCTTTATGACCATATACCAGTAGTTCATCCTTAAAAAAGCTATTACTGTATTGGGCCGGTTCATGTAATATGCTAAGCCAGTGGATCTCAACCTGTGGGTCGGGACCCCATTTGGGGTCAAACGACCATTTCACGGGGGTCGCCAAACAATGCAGTCCGCCATTTTTTCCCCTTTTCCTTAGCTGTGCTACTTCCTTTTATTCTGTTGGCTTTTGAAAGCCAATAGAATAGACTCTCTTGAATAGAGTCTAATTCTATTGGCTTTCAAAAGCCAATAGGAATTGTCCAGGCTGTCTCTGCCCTGCTGAGCCCGCCAAAAGTCCCATTCTGCAAACAGTGCTGCAAGTTGTCTGCAGCGAAGGCGAGCTGTCTGGAAGTTTCCACCCCTCCCTGCTGAGCAAGTACTAAAAATGTAAGTAAAAGAGGGCCAGGGGTAAGAGGTGGGAGGCCAGTGGGTTCAGGGAGGGTTGCTGGTGCATGTGGGGCCTGGCGGATGCCTTACCTCCCTTGGGCTGGGCCAGCTGGTGGCCCAGACGGTGGTCGGCCTGCTCCATCTCTGCCACTTGCCAGCTATGCCTCGGCCGGCGCAGGGGGCGGCACCACGCATGCGTAGTGCTCCCAGGCAGGGAAAGTCCTCGACTTACGACCGGTTGGGTAGTCCTCGACTTACGACCGGTTGGTAGTCCTCGACTTACGACCGGTTGGGGTTGCAGCATTAAAAAGATTGAGAACCACTGTGCTAAGCCATTGATGAGTTCATTTTGGTTTTGCTCTAGCATGTGTGAATGTAGTAGGCAAAATACAATTTATGCTTTAGTGTGATATACCTATTTATTTAATTGATTTATTAAATAAAACTTTGTGAAACAGACTACAGTTTAGCACAATGTGGGAATTCACAAATGTAGTGTATAAAATAAATCTTATGTAAGGATCTGCCTCAATTAGTCCTCCCAAGAAAGCAGAACTCTTAAAACGGACATTATTTCAAAAGGAACTTTTATTGGAAGGTTTTGACAGTAGTAGTAGAAGGCAGGATCTGAGGATTTCCTGCGCAAATCAATAAGTCAAAAGAGTCAATAAAAACCCCACCCCAATTGTCCATCCGAATGGTTCAAATAGGCCAATCCACAAGTGTGAAAATGTTGTGGGAATGATAAGGTGCCACTTCCAAGGCTGTTAGGTCTCTGTACCTTTTCTTCCACACCCAGAGATAAGGCAGATGGCCGGAGGCATATTCCATTCTCATCCTGAGAAAAAAACATCAAAGAGGATAGAGCAATACACAAAGTAAAGGAAATACACTGCAGCACCCCAAGCTTCCCCCCTGTCCCCAAAAGAATGGCAGAACCCTAAAAAGAACAAGAAGCCCTATGCTCATAGAAAGACAGAGTAATCTTACACATTACTACAGTAGCGAGAATAATTTTTGCACAATACTGGAATAATGAAGGACTGCCATCAGAAGAAGAAATAATCAGGAAAATATTGGAATGTGCAGAGATGGACAGAGTAACTATGAGGTTGAAAGATAAAGAAAATACAGACTACTATCAAATTTGGAACCTATTTTATTCTTGGCTAGAGGAAAGAATGAAGGATTAGGAATTGAACATGTATTAGCATAGCAAATTCCCGACAACTTGTTGATTGGAAAAATTAACATATGTTGATAAAAAAAACCAATAAAATCTTTATTTAAAAAAAGAAAGACAGAGTTCTGACATGCCGCCCCCCCCTTAAAAAAATGAGAGATCCACCTGAAGAGAAATAAAATAACAACAGGGAGAGAAAGAGACATATGATTTAGTCAGGTTTATCAGGATACTGAGCATGAATTTTTTTTAACAACATAGGAGCCCCGACATGTCGTTTATGTACCCACTCATTCTGGGAAGATGGGAGATCTTTCCAAGATGTTAGGTATTGTGTTGATCTATGATACTTCCTAGAATCTAGGATCTCCTTGACTTCAAAATGTTGTTCTCCCTCTACCATAATAGGTGGAGCAGGATGAACTGTGGCTGGCCTTAAAGGCGAGCTTAGTTCATGTTTTAATAGGCTACAATGAAATACAGGGTGAACTTGTCTTAATGTTTTTGGGAGTTCCAATTCTATGGTCACTGGGTTGATAACCCTTTTAATGGACTATGGCCCCATGAATTTTGGGCCTAATTTCTTCGATGGCTGTAGAGATTTTAAATACTTTGTGGACAAGTATACTTTCTCCATGACTTGAAACACCTTAGGTTCTACCTGCTTCTTATCTGCCTGCACTTTGTAAGCTTCCCTACCCTCGTCTAATGCCTTTCTCACTACCGGCCACCTATTTCAGAACTATGTGATCCACTCCTTCACAGAGGGGATGGTGGGTTCGTTGACTGGCAATTCTGGCATTGGGTTGAAATTTTGTCCCATTGCGACCTGGAATGGAGTGTAACCCATGCTGGAGTGAACAACATTGTTGTAAGACCTTCCGCAAAAGGAAGCAGGTTGGTCCAATTGTCTTGTTGATGATTAATATGGCATCTTATATATTATTCCAGTACTGAGTTTGAATGTTCTATCCTACCATTCGTTTGTGGATGATACTAGATGACAGGCCCTGGGCAATCCCAGGAGGTCCAAAAAGGCTCTCCAGAACTCTGAAGTGAATTGTACCCCCCTGTCTGAAATTATGCATTACAGAGCCTCATGCAGTTGGTAGATATGCTGTACAAACTTAGTGCATAGAATGAAGTGCACCTACTTGGAGAATAGGTCTGTCAGCACCCAAAAGATCTTATTCCCTGCACTCTCCAGTAGTTACACGATAAAATCCATGGAAATCTCTCACCAAGGTGCTGACAGGCTTGCTACCACTTGTAATAGGCCCAGTGTTTTACCTTGCCTCTGTTTTGTGGCTGCACAAATGGGACAGCTAGCCACATAGCTTTCAATGTTTTCTTTATGGATGGCCACCAAAACTGCCTCTTTACTAGGTGAAATGTCTTCATGAACTCAAAATGTCCAGCTACCTTTGAATAATGGCAGAGTTACATGAATTTCAGTCTTTGGGCTTTGGACAACTTTCTCCCCACCCATGGCAGTCCATCATCCATTGAGCAGAGGTTTTTATGACTCAGAAACTATTCATCTGTTTTCAGAGCTTGTCTGAACTATATTCCGGCTGTGCTGTGTAGGAGTTTTGAATTTTTTGCTTGTGACCATGTGGTTACTGGAGCCATTAATTGTTTGGACAGCATGAGGGGGTTCACTGCTTCTGTTTTGTTCTATTATATTGTGGCAACCTTGATAAATATCCCAGGCAGGTATTTAATAGTAAAGTTAAATCGGTGGAAATGTTGGGACCACTTTGCCTATTTTGGTGACAGTTTCCTTGGGGTTTTTAAAGGTTCTAGGTCACTATAAATGTCAAAGTCTCTATGTGATGCCCCATTGTGAGTTGGATTGGCTGTGTAGCAAGGGTGGCCGGGATCCCTCCTGAGATGGACCCATCTAAATGGCCAAATGAAATTGGTTTCTTCAGCCTCCCTAGGTTCCCCAACAAGATTGGGCTTATTAGGCAATGGGTGCAACTTGAATCCACTAGGGCCTTCAGGGTTACCTTTCTCGGCATTCCCAGACTTAACAGTTCTATGGTTGTGAGGGGCATGATGGGTTCACTTACCAGGGGTTTGTCCTCAGAGTCACTATCAGGAGAGTCGGGTGGTTTTGTGGTCAGGACCAGAGTTCCTTCTCCTGGTATCCTGTGGGAATGGACCTCAATGATCTCAGTGCTCTTCATGGCCATCTCCCTAGGTTGTTGTGAAGTCTTCCCAGGCTTCCCTCCAACTGATCAGTTGGGTTTATGCACGGGAGTCTTTGAACGGCATTCTACAGCCCAGTGCCCCTCTACTGCACTATAAGCAAGCCTTTGAATGTGGCACTATGGTGGGGGTTTTGTTGCCTCTCATTTTCCTTCTGGGGGAGCATCTCCAAGTTCATCTCAGGCATTGCTGACTTTGGACTTGATCGATCTCGGCTTCCTCAGCCAGGATATACCAGTTGTGGAAGTGATCCAGATCTCCCTGGGCAATGCACATGTGGTATAGATCATCATTCAGACTGTCTTTGAAATGACCCACTAGGACCTCCTCCAGCCAATTGAAATGGCATACCAGGTCTCTAAAATCCTCCGTATAGTGAGCCACTGGGCAACAACCTTGCCTCACTATTTTAATGTGTTCTCTGGCCTTCTGGTCACCTAAGAGGTCCTCAGAGCAGCCATGAATTGGTTGAAATTACAGAGTTTGGGGGCATCATTGTTATGCAGGGTCACCATCCAGCGAACTGCTGCTCCCTCCAGGGCCACGGTTACAACTCTAACCCGTCTGTTGTCACTGGGGATATTCCTCCATGTAACTCAGAATGTGGGTTAGAAAGAATCCCATCTGCTGAGGCATTCTGTCATATTTCACACCCAAGAGTGGAACCTTTCGACCAGGCCAGTGGGTCCTCCTTCATCTGGCTTGGTACCCATCTTCCCCAGCTGGGATAACCTGGGCTAGGATGGCTGCCACAGCCATGGCCTCTATAGCCTCCAAAGCACTGGTGGAGGGGCCAGGGTTTGCCAACTCACTCTCCTGGCATTCCTCCTCTGTCATTCCCACCACTATTGAGCCCCGGCAGGGGTCTTCTTCCTCTTTTAGGGACTTGAAAGCTGATGGCTTGTTTGAGAAAGTGGTCAGATCAGGTTGGTCTCTTGTCCTCTTCGCTGAGGTTGAGCAACCTGTCCATCTCTCACTTCCATCCCAGTTGGTGGTTGTCACACTTAAGGGTTACCTTCCTGGCTTTCGCCTCCCATTCTTTCTTCTTTCCCATGCCAATCAATCATCTCGGCTTCTCTCACTTTTCTCTGGTCATGGTTTCATTGGACAAGCTGAAAGATTCTGAGCTGCTGCCGCTCAGGCCATCCTTAGGGGGAGCTTCCCCATAAAGGTTGCTTTTTCCTCTCTCACTTCCATGGTTCAACATCTTTTGCATGGTCCCCATGGTATAGGTTTTCCCTCCAGGTTGACCACTTTGCAGATCCTGCCTAATGTAAGGACCTGCCTCAATCAGTCCTCCCAAGAAAGCAGAACTCTTGAAATGGACATCATTTCAAAAGGAACTTTTATTGGAAGGTTTTGACAGCAGTAGTAGAAGGCAGGATCTGAGGATTTCCCACATGAATCAATAAGTCAAAAGAATCAATGAAAACCCCATCCAGACAGTTTAAATGGGCCAATCCACAGATGTGAAAAGGTGGGAACGGAGCGATAAGGTGCTACTTCCGAGACTGTTAGATCTTCCGAACCCAGAAATAAGACAGATGGCTGGAGGCACATTCCATTCTTACACTGCAGCACCCAAGCTCCCCCCTCCCCCCAGAAGAATGGCAGAACCCAAAAAAGAACAAGAAGCCTTATGTTCATAGAAAGACAGGGTTCTGACATCTTCCCGATATTAATGAATTTAGTAAGACTGTAGCTCAGATTTTTGCATTTATAATAATGTATATACAAATATTACCCATGTCAAAAATTTATTGGAATATCCACTTTGGAAGGTTTAAAACAGTAAACTAATTTTTGTGTTACACTTTTCATAGCAGTTCAGTGTCAGTAATATGAAAATATAATCACATTTTCACAAAATGTGAAAATCACAAAATGTGATTCACAAAACATTAATCACATTGTTGCAATCTTTTCCCCCTATTAACTGAATAGCATCTGCTTTGTTGTGGTAATTATTATATCAACCTTTCCTAATCTGTTTATCTTCACACTGGTTTTGGTTTAGCATCCTATTAAATTCAGCCCCTATATTTTGTGAATTGTAGCTTATGGCTTAATGTGTTTTGGGAAGGCAGCCAATTAACAAATTTTGGTTAAACAACCATAGTTTGGAGCAAAGTGGTTAATGGCAATGTGTAATCTCATAATAGAACTTGTTATTTACAGAATTGTTTTTCAAACACGTATTCAATACAATAAGATTTCAATAATACAAATTTCAATAATACAAATAACAACAATAACATTAATCTTCATTCTGAGGCAAGCAAATTTTAACTGACTGAAAAGACCCATTGTTTACATCTATTTAACAAGTGGAATTTATATTAGCACTGATGCATAATCATACATTATCCAAGAGAGTTGTCTAAAGTGAGAATAGTCTTTCTTTTAATTGTAAGTTCATGGTCTATTTGTTGTTAATCTTTTGACAGCTAAAGGAGAAATATGTAAGGCGGTATACTCCAAAGCTGTGAAAAGCATATTTTGGTTTTTCCTTGCTTATTGATGATGGTACACCTACGCATTTTGGCATCTTGCTCTACTTGTGACTAATTTGTTTGTACAGGAAGAAATGATTCTATATAATAGATTAATTAAGGAAAGCTATATATGAAATAATGGACCACACATTAAAACTTCATCTTGTTACCTGGTAAAGTCACCTAATAATCATGTCTTGATTTTAATAAAATACATCCCTATTTGAGAGCTATGCAAGCTGATGGGCAAGCATTTTCTTCAGTTTCAAGATATAATAATTAGACCAAGGCCTGGAATTTCATAACCACTGCATTCTAAATATTGCCTCGAGATTGTAGCTTTTAATGCAACAGAAAGAGAAAATCTTTAATTAGGTAAAGAATAATCATATCACTTGAAATATGATTTTAAATTTAAATTAAATTTTAACCTTGATCTAACCTAGCCTGCCTCCTTTTTGAAGTATGACATTGGTGTTTTAATCAGACTTGACCTTCAATTTAGCCAAGTGTGATTACTTTTGCATTTGCTCCCAAGAAAACATTAAAAGTCAATTTTGAGTTATTCCATCAAACTCTTAGAGTCCTTACCTGTAGAGAGTAAGGAAGATAGCTTGTCATAGGTAAGCCAGATCTGTTACCAAAGTGACGAGGGGAAAAACATAGCTTAAGTCTAAAACAAGCAGAAAGCTCATAGTAGTGATTCAGATATCTCCCTAATTCACATGGGTTTAAAAAGAGGAAAAGGTATGGGACAATTAGACTTGCTAAATTTTGTCATTGTAGTCATTATCAATAAAAATGGATGGAGAGCCCTCCTGTAGTGTTGATTCCTGATCTGGTCTATCTGGTGGGTCTGACATTACCTTATAGTAGGGGTATAATTTAATTGTAAGGCCATCTCAACTTGGTCAGTTAGAAAAGAAAGACTCTCGATGCCATGATTAGCAAAAGTAAACTTTACTAAAGCCAATGGTGTAGCAAAGCTGGAACTGGGGTTTTCCAGTACAAACTCCCTGGTTAATTTTCCCCTTTTCCAACCTCCTGTCCCCATTATCTCAAAGTGTCCAGCTGAATTCAAATAAATTGTTTTGGCAACAGTCCTGTCTTGGGTGGCTGGAAGGTGTTATATTCCCTACCCAGATGCTTGACCTTGGAGCAGCTGATCGCTCTCATGGGACGGCATGAAGAGTGGTCTCATTTCCCTCCTTTCCCTATCGCCTTCTCCTCCCTGCAGCTCTCCCTCCCCCTTCAGTAAATGGCAGGTTGCATGGCTGGTGTAGCTGGATGGCAGTCCTGACATTAATAGATGTTCTGTGTCTGGACTTGACTGTTAACAAACTAATTCTCTTCACTGTCAGATGAGATTAGCATTGTTTTGTAAGACGAGTAAGTACAGGAATTTTCTACTTCTTTTGAAAAGTGTCATTTATGGCTCAAATCACTATAATTCACCTACTTCTTTGGGGACTAAATCAAAACCTTGTACAAGCTTTGCTGATCTTGTATGCCTGCTTCATCACTCTTAGTACCAAGGAAGAGTTCTGGAAAATTACTAGCATTGAATCTACCTTATTTCTCCTAGTCATTTTAATCCCCAGGTGAAACCTGGGTTTGCTGCAAGTTATGATTTGTTACCTTGGCTTTCTATACACAGCCTCTTGTCTCTACATTTGCAAAGCACCTTTTCAATAATGGAAACTGCTACAAGTTGACTCACTCTGCAGTAAGTATTTAGTGGTTTCTTTCAAACTGATGCCAAATGTAGGAGAAATAGACAATTATACTGAAATGAGTATGATACGAGACCTGCATTTTTCCTAGTGCAAAAATCCAGTATGACCTAGAGCATAATAGAACACTTTGACAAATAGAAAGAGTCATGGAAATATTCTCCCCCCCCCCCCAGACCCGCAAAGTTCAACAACAATCCTGGCAAAAGCTATTGTTTTTTAAAGAGTAAAACAGAACAAGATTCTTTATCCAACTCCTATCACATTCTGAAGAAAAAAAAATACTGCAGTGAGTCATACCATTTCTTTGTGTTTTTAAAATATACCAGGCAGTCTGGATCTTCACTCCAAATAGTACTCCCACATATTTCACTTTAGTTTGATGGCATTTTACATAACGATGGTAAAATGTTTGTAGAAGATAGTCCACATTCAAATACATATACTACTACACCTTTTGCAATGGAATGCTGCAAAGCAGCAGAAAGTTTTATCATCACTTAGAGAGAAAGCAGCTATAGCAGTTTCTACAAATGTAGGCAGTATATACACGGAGAAGGTCCTAGACACAAAATTAGTGATGATTAGTGAATATTTCAGGATGCTCACATGACTGGTATGAGACATGGTTCACCTATAAAATAAACCTTCAACAAAATTATCTAAAATAAATTGAATACAAATACTATATACTATACAAAGCAGAACTGTTGAGCAGTGTGGTGGTCTAGAGGTTGAATTCTTGCCTTACAATCAGGAGGCTTGAGTTCGATCCCAATTAGTGGCAGATATTTCTCTTTTGGGGCATGATGAGTAATTGTCTACTGCAAACTTTATGTAGGCATCAGGAAGGGCATCCAACCAGTAAAGGTTCAAACTCCATTCAGTCACCCCGACTCCACCCTGACACAAGGGATTACAGGATCATTAAAAGAAAAAAAATACAAAGTAGAATTGTTATTCTGGTTCAACAATATTTGTTGTAAACAACTGAAAAAAGTAATGGTGAATGAGGGGACTCTGGGCTTTCCCCCTTACCAATTCATCTTCCCTGGTTTTTCTTGCTCTACTTTCCTTGTTTCATTTCCTCTCTTTTGCTATTCCTGTGCTTGTTCAAGCTCTCCTTCCAACACCCATTCACCCTGTCTCCTCTAAATTTTGAAATCATCGGGGTATTCTGCAGAGCAAAGCTTCTGTGGGGGTAGTCATCTCCATTTATTCAAAAGACCTCTAGAAGAAAGACAAGAGAACTGGGACAGAGCAAATCAGGTAATATTCAACTGAGTCTTTTCATATGCACCATGCTTTTCTTGGTAACAGCAAAAGCCTTTTGCATAGCACCTCATAATAGCAAATGCTAAAAAAAAACACCACAAACTTATTTGTGAATATTTTGTCTTTCATATCTAAACTGCAGAATAACAACGTCAAAAGTATAATGAAATTTACTATTTAAGACCATACAGAGGAAAGGAAACAGGGTGAAAAATAAATAGAGGCATCTTAAAGATTTGTTTTCTTCATTCAGATCTTAGAAAAAAGACTAGTATATATATATATATCTATAATATATCTATAATATATATATCTATATATCTATATCTATATATCTATATCTATATATCTATATCTATATCTATATCTATATATCTATATCTATCTATCTATCCAATGTATCTATCCATACATTGCTGCTGGAAGCACGAAGCTGAAGACACCAGCCTGAAGATGACGAATGGGACTTCGTCGAAACGTCGCCAAGACACTTCCAATTTTACGCGGGAGAAAACCCAAACAACCAAAGACCTACATACAAACACCTGCGAAAACCTCAGAAAACATATATATATATATTCAAGAGTATTAGTAAAAATGCGACTCCCAGGCATAATTATGAATAAAAGAATAAAATACGATCACCGGGAGGGTTGAAATAAGAATACTTTACTAAAAATATACTTATACTAAAAAGTTGCCAAGCTTTCGCTGGGGAAACTCCCCAGCATCGTCAGGGCTAAAAGGCCATTACAATAAAGGTGGTTTAAGTAGGTTCAAGTAACATTGTTTGGCACTCAAACCGCTCTCATTACTCCTCCCCTTACTGATCGAGTGGGTTGTCATTCTATGCTTTCTCTCCCCTCTCCACGTGGGACGCTTCTCCTCGTTGCTATGGGCAACTGCACACTCCGAGATTTTAACAAGTCTTTTAGGTGTTCCGGCTCCACTGATATCGCTTCCTCCCTCCTGGGGGGGGGGTGAGCCTCACATGGGGTTGTTGGGCGGTGCGTAGATCATCCATATCGGGTGCCCCCTCCCTTTCTTTCTCTGTGCGCGGGGAGTCCGTAGCCTCTATTCCAGCGTCCACATGTTGGGGTGGGAGACTCTCTTGCTGCACGATCCGGCACCGGTCACCTGGCAAGAGGGTGTTGATGGTATAGTTATTTACGTCCGTATGCAGGCGTTCTCGGCGGTGGGGGGATGCGGCTTCCTGTCCATAACGCCGCAAGTGTTGGTATGATCGCTTGCGATGTAATGAGTGGTAATTTGAGTCCCATTTCCGCAGCGCTTGTTGCGCTGGATGCAAGTCAATACGATGATTAATTGAGCTGTCATTTGAGAACCAGGCCTCTTTCAGTAGCCGGCCTCCCTTCGTGGCATCACTAGCTACGATACAGGTATTAGCAAAGTCAAATTGGTGGCCCTCTTGCGCCATATGCATCCAAAGTTGTGAATGCTGCTCGCCCCGTTTTATAGCCAATTGGTGTTCATGGAGACGAGTCTTCAGGCGTTTGGCTGTTTCCCCCACATAGTTGTCTTGGCAATTCCTGCAATTGATCTTATAGACAACAGATGATTTCTCCATAGGAGGTAAGGGGTCTTTTGGGCGCATGACTTTAGACCGTAGAGTTTGGTTTGGCTTGTGAGCCACCTCTATTCCATGGGGGGCCAGCAATCTGGCCGTGGCCTCTGAGATATTGTTAATGTATGGGAGGGAGATGCGTGTTCTCTGTAAGGAGGGTTCTTCTCTACATTGGTTGGCCCGAAGATGGGTTGTTACGCTATGCCGTCTGATGAATCTTAATGGGTAACCGTTATAACGGCATATGCGAAAGAGGTGTCTCCTCTCTTCATTCCTATACTCATCCGTACTGCAGTGGGAGTCAACGTGCTTAAATAACGTTTTAATGCAGCTGATTTTATGGGAAACTGGATGATTACTCTGATAATGGAGGATCCTGTCCATGTGAGTTGGTTTACGGAACACTTTTGTATGTAAGGATCCATCCAATTGGCGATGGATGGATACATCCAAGAAGGCAAGGGTGTTATTTATTTATTTATTTATGAGACTTATATACCGCTTTATACCTCTCTAAGCGGTGTACACCAGTAAGCAATGTGTGTGTGTGTGTGTGTGTGTGTGTGTGTGTGTGTGTGTGTGTGTGTATGTATATATATATATATATATATAGGGCTTTGGTTGTTCGGGTTTTCTCCCGCGTAAAATTGGAAGTGTCTTGGCAACGTTTCGACGAAGTCACATTCGTCATCTTCAGGCTGGTGTTTTTAGCTTCTTGCTTTGAGCAGCAATGTGTGGTTTTAGCTGTTTCTTCCTTTTAACTGCCAGTGAGGGTATGAACTGATTGGATGGGAGCTTGGCTGTGTTCTGATTGGGTGGAGGTGTGTTCTGAATGGTTAGGGGCTTGGCTGTGCTCTGATTGGCTGGGGGAGTGTTCTGTTTGGTTGTGCTCAGGTTAGTCTGAGTTGCAGAGGGGTTTAAGATTTTGGGGTTAGGGAGTCGTTTGTCAATAAGGGCAGGTTTCCAAATGGCTGGTAGGCGGGAGGTATCATCTCGCTTGTTCATGCTGTGTGGGCGTTTTTCTATCTCGATGGCTTCTCTGATTATTCTGTTATTAAAATGTTCACTTTTGGCAATGGTTCTGGTATTTTTAAAGTCAATTTCGTGTCCTGTGGCTTTAAGGTGTTGGACCAGGGAAGATGTTGGTTCCTCTTTTTTGACTGAGTTCTTATGTTCTTCAATGCGTGCACTTATTCTTCTGTTGGTTTGTCCGATGTATGTGGTGGGACAAGTGGTGCATGGGATTTCGTATACTCCTTGATTTTCTAATTCAATTTTATCTTTGGGGTTTCTAAGGATGGTGGATATTTTTCTGTTTGTGCAGAATGCTGTTTTGATGTTGTGTTTATGGAGGATCTTACTGATTCTGTCTGTGGTGCCTTTTATGTATGGGAGGAGGGCTTTGCCGTTTTCTTGTTCTTTGTCTTGGATTTTAGTGGGGGTTTCTTTTTGGATTAGGTTTGTAATCTTATTTCTATGGAATCCATTGGATGTTAGTACATTGGTGAGAGTGTGTAGTTCGGGTTTTAGGTGTTGTTCGTCAGCTAAGCGTTTTGTTCTGGAGATGAGTGTCTTGGCTACAGAGTTGATCTGTGCTGGGTGGTGGTGTGAGAGAGCGTGCAGATAGCGGTTTGTGTGTGTTTTCTTCTGGTAGATGGTGTGTCCTAGGGAGCCATTGGATTTCTTGTAGACTAAGACATCCAGGAAGGGAAGTTGGTTGTTAGCTTCTGTTTCCATGGTGAACTGTATTTTGGGGTGTAGGCTGTTGAGGTGTGTGAGGAAGTTGTCCAGTTTTTCTTTCCCATGTGGCCAGATTATGAAGGTGTCGTCTACGTATCTGAGCCAGAGTTTGGGTTTGTGATCCGATTTTTCTAGAGCTTGGGTTTCAAAGTGTTCCATGTAGAGGTTGGCAATGACAGGTGAGAGGGGTGATCCCATGGGTGCTCCTTCTGTTTGTTTGTATTTTTGTCCATTATAGATGAAGTATGTGTTGGATAGGCAGTGGTTGGTCAGATCTAAGATGTGTTTTGGGGGGTTATATTTGTTTTGAATAGCTGTCAAGGCTTCTTTGATAGGCACTTGGGTGAAGAGGGATATGACATCGAAGCTCACTAGTAGGTCGCTGGGCTGTAAGCTTTGTTTCTTTATGATCTCTATAAACTGGAATGAGTTTTTTACGTGTGAGGTGATGGATTCTGCATAGGGCTGTAGTTGTTTGGCGAGAAATTTGGCTAGGTTTTGTAGAGGTGAGCCTATGGAGCTGACTATAGGTCTGAGTGGGGTTCCTTCTTTGTGTATCTTGGGGAGACCATAGAGTTTGGGGCATCTGGATGATTTCTCTCTGGGAATGATTCTTTGCTGGATCTCTTCGCTAATGGGGGAGGCTTTTATTTTGGATCTGGTGGTTTTTTCCAGGTAGGTGGTGGGATCTGTATTTAGGGGTTTGTATGTGGAGTCTTGGAGTAGGTTGGTTAATTTGGTTTGGTAGTCAGATGTGTTCATAACCACCGTGGCGTTGCCCTTGTCTGCTGGTAGGATTATTATGCTGGTGTCTTCTTTAAGGTTACGTAGTGCTGTCTGTTCCTCTTTGGGTAAGTTGCTTTTGGGTGGCTTGCTGGTGCAGAGGATGTTGGTGATTTCGAGTCTGATTCTGTTGGCGTCATCGGGGTTGATTTTAGTCAGGCTGGTTTCAACTCCACATATAATGGTTTCAGTGGGGATGTGTTTGGGAGCGACTGCAAAGTTGAATCCTTTGGAAAGGACATTGGTTTCGGCTTTGGTGAGGATCCTATCTGAGATGTTATGCACTGTTTGTTTCATGTGTGGCTGTGAGGGAGGAGGGGTTTGTTTCTGGCGTTCTTGTAGTCTTCGGAGTTTGTTGGTGTGTGTATCTGTCTTGAGGGTGGTCTGTGTTTCGGCTCTCCAGACGGCAAGTTGTTTGGATTTGTCCCAAAGTGCGGGGTGGATCTTGTTGCTGAGTTTGAGGTGGAGCGTGAGGAGATCTTTGTTAATTCGGTCTAGGAGGAATCTTTTTGTGTGAAGTTCATTTCTGATTAGGGCCAATTCTGTTCTTTTCAGGATCCATTTGGTGGCTGCAGAGTTGGAGTGGAATTTCAGTTGGAAACATGTGGGGATTAGATTTTGATCTCGGCAGTTGCGTAGGAATGCGAGGTCGCATAAAATGGAAGCTCTTTGGACTTCAAGTTTTTCATAGGTCCTGGTCAGATGGTGGATTTCCTCCCCGTAGAGGTTCAATATTTGTTTTCTGAGGTTTTCGCGGGTATTTGTATGTAGGTCTTTGGTTGTTCGGGTTTTCTCCCGCGTAAAATTGGAAGTGTCTTGGCGACGTTTTGACGAAGTCCCATTCGTC